AATATAAAATGGAATTCTATGCCCTCCATCAGAAAGAATGACATTTCCCCATTTGTTAGGAAATGGAAAGACTTGGAAAAAATTATATTAAGTGAAGTAAGCCAGGCCCAAAGAAACATAGGTCCCATAGTTTCCCTTGTTTGCAATGTCTAGTACATGTTTACAACAGAGTAGGTCAAAAGCTATTTACATATGACCATATAAGATAATGTTAAGCAAAATGTACCCCAAGACAGAGACACAAGGGGTTTTTTCTTTCTTTCTATTTGTTGTAATGTACTTATATTACACTATGTGATTCTTTTTTTTGGGGGGGGGTCTGGTCGTGGGGCCTGAACTCTGAGCCTGGGTGCTGTCCCTCAGCTCTTCAGCTCAAGGCTAGCACTCTACCACTTGAGCCACACCGCCACTTCCGGCTTTTTTCTTTTTTCTTATGTGGTGCTGAGGAATCGAACCCAGGGCCTCAGGCATGCAAGGCAAGTGCTCTACCACTGAGCCACCTTCCCAGCCCTCTTTTGTTTCTTTTGTATGTTCCTCCCCCACGGTACAACCCCTGTTTTCACTGTATTTGATTATGGTGTTCTGCATCTTGTATAAACATTTTTGCAATTTGGGGAGGGGAAAGGGTATAACAAATTCTTAAGTAGGGATGCAGGTTGACCCACTGTGACAATGAAATATACAGGACACTATGTTGAAAAGGAACTTTACAATGTCGGGGTGGGGGGGGAGGAAGGAGTTGGGGAAGTGGGGAGGGAACTGATGGTGGGGGAAAATCAAAGGAGGGGTAACAATGCTTGAAAGGAAATGTACTCATTACCCTACTCATGTAACTATAACCCCTCTGTATAGTAGCTTTACAATAAAAAAATTGCAAAGAAAAAATCTTACAGAGATAAAGAAAATATCCTGAACAAATCTTATATGTGGCGGTGATTCTGTTGGTGGATAGATTTATCCAAATTCATTCAGTTGTATTTAGGGAAGCTTACTGATCAGATATTATACTCCTTAAATACTGTATTTAAAAAGTAATGCCAGCAGCAGGAAAAAATGAATACGTTTACAAAGATGTAGAACTGAATCATGATTATCTGGCACATTTATTCACAGATTTATTTTGGTAATTTGTTAGATATATTACTTGCTCATACTGTCCTTGCTTTCTGCAAAATGGGAACAATAACATGTATGTACATCACAGATTTGTCCTGATTATTAAAGTTTGTTATTGACATAAAAAATTTTTACTATTAGAACTGGAAGTAATGGAAAAGTTTTAAGCAAAGAAATGGTATAAATTTTATTCTTAGCAATGGAAGCAATGAGTTTTAAGCAGAGAAATTATATAAATATATACACACATCCATATATACCCTCATATATGTGTATATATGTATATATGAGTATATATGGATGTGTGAATATACAATATATTTACATTATATCACATATATGTTTATATATCATATGTAGTTATGTTATATAATATATTACATTATATTATATCAATATAACATATATGATATATATACACATACATATACATATATTTATATTTTCAGCCTAAGCAGAGATGGGATATTTAGTAAAGAGAAAAAACTAAAAGAAAGGCAAACTAAGTTCTAGTGTTTAAGGATATATACTTAAAAGAGTAAAACAACAATGTAATGTCAACCATAAAAGCTAAGAAGAGGTTGGAGTGTTTATCAGTGGTATACTGCTTAACATATGCAAAGCTGTAGGTTTGACACAGCACTCAAAAATAAAGGGGGGGGCAAACAAAGCAAAAGGGGAGAAAGGAGACTGCACGAGGGACTTCAGAGGATAATTTTCTGTGCTTTGACTTAGGTGTTGGTCAGATGGACGTTTGCTTTATATTTGCATATTAAGTTACATGTTTATGTTCAACGTCTATATGTATGCCTCAAAATAAGAAGTATATATACATCTATCTTGTTTCTTTTAATAAAGAGGTGGTTACGGTGAAAAAGTGGAGACAATGGGTGAAGATGGCTCATAAGGTTTGGTTTCGGTGGTAGGTTTTTGGTGGCAATTATCATTCTATTCTCTTAGTTTTCCTCTGGAGGTTTGTCTAGGTATGACACAACCTTCAGAAAGACAGGTGTTTAGCCTCTTTTATCCACAATGTGACCCTTTGCCTAAGTTAGGGCACTTGCACTTCCCTTAATAAGAAACGGCTTTCTCTGTACTCTCTGTTATTTGGGCTTTTACTACAAATATAGTATCTTCCACTGACCTAGAGATGAAAGCCATATTGATTTTGAGAATGGTAGTCAAGTTCCACCAGCAACCTTGTCCAATTTTATGAAGTGGTGTTGTCTATCCATCTTGGACTTCCGATACATCTTTGTTCTAATGAAAATTAAATATACTGTACTTATATCTTCTTTAAATTGCAGTTGGGGCAGTTCAGCTGTATACCAACATAGATGTAAGATATGGCCTTACATTCAGGGGATAAAGGGACAGGGAAGGGATTTTAGAAACAGTGGAGACAACAGAGAATGTCAAATGTTAACAGAATTTAGAAGAATGAGATAAAAGGTTGAAGATGCAGTGGTCAGAAATTTAAAAATATAGCAAATTTCAACTGGGCGCTGGTGGTTCACACCTGTAATCCTAGCTACTCAGGAGGCTGAGATCTGAGTTCAAAGCCAGCCAGAGCAGGAAAGTCCATGAGACTCCTATCTCCAATTAACCACCAGAAAACCAGAAGTGGCACTGTGGCTCAAAGTGGTAGCACACTAGCCTTGATTGAAAAAAGCTCAGAGACAGTGCCTAGGCCCTGAGTTCAAGCCCCATGACTGACAATAAATAAATAAAATTTAAAAAATATATATATAGTAGATTTCTTGAAAAGTTCTGAGAGGATAGAATACAGAATTTGTATAGAAGAATGGACTTTGGTAGAAGGAGGAATAATTTCTGTATTCATCAGGGGGAATTATTGCTGTATTCAGCAGTAAAAAAAAGAAAGGGAGATTTGTATGTTATGCTGAAAGATGAGAAGTTCCGACATAAAGTTTTCATTTTCTCTAGGGAACTAAAAATATATGAAAAAATGGAGGGAGAGAGAATTGGCAGGTGGAGGGAGAATTGGCTAGCAGAAGGAAAGGGTACAAAACATCCATTATGATGAAATGTCTTGTGAAGAGTTGTAAATGTTGAGTCTGCGTGTTAAGAATTTTTTTCAAGCCAAGTTCAGCTGCTTTGAAGTTGCCAGAAGTAGACAGGTCAGGTCCATCCAGAGTTTGGATTGCAACCACATGGTAAGGAGGTAAGGAAAAAAAGAGAAATTTTCTAAGAGAAGAGTTTTCATAATAGACCTTGGAAGTAAGGTTGTATAGAGAAGAAAGTTAAACACAGAAAGAAACTGATGCTCAAAACTGGAGAATAGAATGGTAGTTTCAGTGAAGATGAGGAATTATTGCTTTTCCTTAGTGAGTGAGCTGGAAGTGAAAGCCTTTTAACTGAGGGATGGAATGGATGTTCACATGACTTCTGTGGAGGCTCTGAGAAATGTCAGTTCCACTGAGGAATTGTGAATGTAGCAGCTGAGGTGAAGTAAAGACATTGTCTCTGGAAAGGAAGAGAAATCTTCAGAGTATATGGCACATAGTTTTGAATCTAAGGATGAGAAGAGGTGTTGTAGTTTGTTTAGTAGAAAAGGTAAAGCAGAAGCAGAAGAAAAAGATGTTGAGAAAAGTACTGAGAAACAGAACTGCCTCTTGCCTCATTAGAGTTAGGTTATATAGACAGAAGCTCCGGGTGAAACTAGAAAAGTAAGGTGAAAACAAATGCTAACAAATGTGAAAGTTCAAGTAGGTTGGACTTCATTTTGCAGCCCAAGTTGTCAGTCATGATGTCACCAAACACTGGCATACATGAAGACTATAGATAATATATATTTTTATTTTATTTATTCTTGTTAGGGCTTGTGAATATGTTAGAATTATATTTTTTACAACTCAGAAAAATTCTTAGCCATCCTATCCTTTTATTGTTGTGCAAGTACTAGGACTTGAACTCAGGGAACTGTGCATATGCTTGATTTTTTTGTTTTGTTTTTGGTGGGGCCTGAACTCTGGGCTTGGGTACTGTCCTTCAGTTCTTCAGCTCGAGGCTAGTGCTCTACCACTTGAGCCACAGCGCCACTTCCAGCTTTTTCTGCTTATGTGGTCCCAGGGCCTCATGCATGCAAGGCAAGCACTCCATCACTGAGCCACCTTCCCAGCCCAATACTTGGCTTTTTACACTCAAGGCTGTCACTCAATTACTTGAGCCACACCTCCACTTATAGCTTTTTGCCCATTAATTGGAGGTAAGAGTTTTGGATTTGTCTGCATGGGTTGATTTTAATCCTCAGATCTCAGACCCTTCAGTAGCTAGGATTCTAGGCATGAGCTAGGGACACCTGGCAACCACTCTACTATTAAATATTACCTTCCCCCTATTTTATTCTCTCCTTCAGGACCCTCTACATTGGACTTCTGGATATCATATATACATATAAATGACAGTGAGAACGCTGAAACAATTTTAAATCATGAATTTATGTATAAGTAGTAGCACCTTGAGTGTACTCTATCTTAAATACTAAATCATTATCAGCTATCTTCATTCTAGATCCCTGGTACTATAAAGATGATTTAACACTCTCTTCTTAGGTGACATTAACCATACAACCTGTGGCACTACTTAATGCTAGGCAAGTAATTTGAGTCATACACCTAGACCAAATGAGTTCCCTATCTAGAGTCAGTGCCAAATACATAGAAATTTTGTAAGTACTTTCCACTCAATCCTAATGCATATTTTTAAGTCAGTACTTAAATTTCTTTCTTGTTCAAGTCCTAGAATACTAATATATTTCCATTAAAATAGGCAAGTACATTGCAAATCTAAACTAATATGAAACAACTTCCTTAGGACAAAGAGTTGCATTCATGGTTTCTAAATGTAAGGGGACTGCTTACCTACTATGAGCCTCTGAAGAGTACCTTTATCTCCATTAACTGCAGCGGCATGAACTTGTGATGCTAATGAGGAACCAGTAGAGAGCAGATTCTCTGGTCTGCTCATAGTCTGCTGAACAACTGGATCAACCTGAAATAATGATTCAGACAAAAAGATTATGGAGGAAACACTTATGATATCTTCTCATTAGTTCCAAATAAGTATGTGTAAACATTATTTACTAGAAATATTGGATCAGGATTAAGGAAAATCTACATCCATAGTCCTTGAATTTCTATAATGTGGGAAATTAGATGACCTTTGTAAATTTAACATTAGGCACAGGGTTCAAAAGTCACAGTGACTTCTAAGTTAATACTGGTAGGATAGGGGCTGGGAAGGTGGCTCAGTGGTAGAGCGCTTGCCTTGCATGCCGGAGGCCCTGGGTTCGATTCCTCAGCACCACATAAGCAAAAGAAAAAAGCCGGAAGTGGCGCTGTGGCTCAAGGGGTAGAGCGCTAGCCTTGAGCTGAAGAGCTGAGGGACAGCGCCCAGGCCCAGAGTTCAGGCCCCACGACCGGACCCAAAAAAAAAAAAAAATACTGGTAGGATAGCTGGGTGCCGGTGGCTCATGCCTGTAACCCTAGCTATTCAGGAGGCTGAGATCTGAGGATCACAGTTCAAAGCCAGCCTGGGCAGGAAAAGTCCGTGAGACTCTTATTTCCAATAAACCACTCAGAAAACCGGAAGTGGTGCTGTGGCTCAAGTGGTAGAGCGCTAGCCTTGAGCTGAAGAGCTCAGGGACAGCGTCCAGGCCCAGAGTTTAAGCCCCACGACTGACCCTCCCCCCCAAAAAAGGTAGGATACCATGGACTACTAGATATTAAAATTGATGCCTGGAATCAACTTATTGATCAACCCAGAAAAAGGTTTGATGTAAACTTAATTATCAAGTCAGTTAATTAGATTTAAACACTAAATTAAAAGGTACCTAGTTCTTCTTCTCATGCCTTTGTGTAAATAAAGGCAATATTTTTATTTGTTATCTTCTTGGCCATTCTCAGGAATTAATATGACTAGTTTGAGATATTACTTGGAACACTTTTTCTTTAGGATTAACCATACGACATTAAGAAAAAGGTTTTTTTTTTTTTCTGATGGTCTGTGTGTGTGTGTGTGTGTGTGTGTGTGTGTGTGTATGTGTGTGTGTGTCTGTGTGTGTGTATGTTTTAAACTTCTAGAAATGGATTGGGTACATAGAAAAATAGTGAATTACCTATCAATGAAAGTGTTTAAGCAGAGGTTGGGCTATGTCATCAATCAAGTATTCAAGCATCTGATGAGAAAAAGGGAAGGAGGTGCACTATTTATTAAAAATCCTTCCTCATTATGTCAAAAAATGAACTTTACAACTTTGGTAAGGTGTGGGGATGGGCGGGGAAGTGGGGAAGGGACGGAGATGTAGGGAACATAGTAAACTAGAATGTACATACTTATATGACAGGAACAGTTTTTAATACATTCCAGTTGATTGTTGCCATGAAGGTGGACAAATTCTCCTCTGATTTCATAGAAAAGCATGGTCATTCCAATCTCTTTGTTTTCTGGGGACCTGAGCATTTTTCTCCATAAACTCTGGGCCTACTGGCCTGAAATATTGATTCAAATTCTGTCAGAGAGAGAAAATATTTTGTAGAATTACGGTACAAGGTTAGCGCTTCATGTCTTCATTTTGCTGACAATTTGTGTGAACATGTTGCCAGAAGATGTAATGAGACATGTAATGAGACATGTCTCAGCATGTCTGTCCTGTCAGAGGAATCACTGTCATATTCTGGACTACATTTAAATCCCGTAGGAGAAGCTACAAACAAGATGAGGTGGAAACATAGTAGAATAATAATTATACTTGAGTTCTTGTTAATAAGTTGCAGTGTATTCTTCTCAAGACTTTCTCAGCTTCCTTGACTGTATAAAATAGAAAGGATGCCCTATGTTCATTCATTTAACAAGTTGTGCCAAGTATGTCTTAGGCATTGTTCTGAAGACCTGACATTTTAGATTCTGAGCTTTAGGTGCATCAGAACCATACTGAAATACTTTGAGAAAACATTAAAATTGGATTTTACTATGTATATTTTATATTTCACCTCATAAATTTTAGCATATAAACAGGTATATCGTTGGTGCTCAATAAATGTTCGTAGGTCATAGGCTGAGCCCTAAGTGCAAAGGATAAGCAGGATCAAAGTTTAACTTCTTAGAATAATGAGTTCATGCTCATGAGTCTGTTCTTTCTTAATTTCCTATTTTAACTTGGGCTCTGTCAGAAGGGTTGATGAGATGAATTGTATAGAGATAAGAACACTGTAGTAGGAATTTGATCTAAGTGAGAGTCTGCCACAAATTTTGTCAGGCTGGGAAAATTATTCCTCTAGGATTCTTTATAGTACAAGTCATATTTTAGCAGTGATTTTTTCCCCCACTAAATCATTTTTAAGAGATGACAATCTAAATTACTTTGTTAAAGAGCTATAAAATGTAAAGGTATCATCATGATTAAATAATTATAACACAAGCCAATGTAATAAATGTTCTAATAATCATAACTAGGTAAAGCTAGTGGTGCTGTAGTCACACACAAAGGAAATATAATTCCATCTACAACGAAAGCTTGGTAGGTTGTAACATGTCAGAGAAAATGACATTTGAGATGGCATTCCACAAAGAGAAGGGAGTAAAGGCACCTCAGGAAGCTGGAAAGCTGAAGCAAAGGAAGAGAGTAGTTAAGACCACAAAAGCAGAATGCTTAGGAGTGATTACTCGGCTAACTTGTCCCACACGTGGGCCTGGCTGGGTGTTTACAGAAAATGCTGGAGGGTTACCAGGGCCAGGTTAAATCCTTGACTGCTTGGCTAAGGAATTCCTCAATTAACTTAAAAACAATCGCTCTGGCATTGAACTTTCCAGTTTCGAATGTGTCTTCCCATCCTTCATCATATCTACTCTTCACAGGGAAGAGCCACTGGTCACTGAAGTCCCCAGTGGTGGCTCCCATTTTATAACGGAGGCTTTAGCACAGAAAGAAGAGGCAGCAGGCAAGGAGGCCGGTGATGGAGGCTCAGGCCAGGAGGGCCCAGGGTGGGCAGCAGCGGCCAGGACGGTGCCCACCGATCGTTCCGAGCCTCCCCGGCCAAGACCCATTCCTACTCACCCTCGCCTCCTCCAGGACAGAGGTCCCGGGGGCGGCTTCAGGAGGCACGACCCCCCACTCCGAGGGGGACCGCCCCTCCTGCCAGGTCCCCCAACAGGGTCGGACCTCGGGGCGCTGAAGTTAGCGAACCCTCAGCAGGCCACCCTGAGCATTCGGCCGCAACGCTACCTGGGAACTGTAGTTCGCATCTTGGGAAGCTCAGAAGTACGCGGCCCTCTGCCCTTTCAATCCCACAGGTCCCCGCGCGAAGAAGGCTCGGCGGGCCTGGGCCTATGGCCTACTGGGAAAGCGAGTTCTCATTGCCGAATGATTTGCTTGACGAGGGACGTTTAGAACTACATTTCCCGTCGTGCTCTGAGGTGGGCAGGACCCGGAAGTGAGGGCGTGCGAGGCCTCTCTGGAAGTTGTCCCGTGTGTTCGCCGCTGGAGCGCCGGGTCGAGAGGACGAGGTGCAGCCGCGGGCTCCCGGAGCCCAGCCCTTTTCTAGCCTAGCCTGGCCCTTCCCCGCCGCCGACTCCTGTCCCCGCCAAGAACCCCAGCGTTACCATGAATCCTGCAGTCTCCCTCTCCTTACCCGACCTCAGATGCTCCCTGCTGCTCCTGGTGAGTGAGTGAGGAATGACAGACCCTCGGACGGACTCACTGACCGCCCCCCGCCCTCGCCGGGAGCGGGGATGGCGCTGCCCGGGCTTCCCTACGTTCTCCTGCGGGGGCTAGGGGCGTGCCCTTCCCCCGCTGCCTTCACTTTTGCCATCTTGTCTTCTGCCTTCTTGGGCCCGGGGTCCTGGAGGCCCGAGAAACCTCGGTCGGGGGGTTGGGACCTGAAAGCCCGAGAATCAGCCCTGGGGAAGAAGGGACCGGAGGGAGGGTCACGGAGTGGGATCGCCCAGGACCCGGGATGTTCGCGCCTTGCCAGGGCGTGTAGCCTGAATTCGCGAGAACTGAGGAGAGACCAGGGCTGTCCTCCCACCCTCTGGGTGTGGGAAGGGCGTGAAGCGACAGGTGCTGGGGTCCTGTGAAGCTCACTCCGGGAGCCAGAAACGGTGCCCGGCCTTGGCGGAGCCCTCTGTTGTGGCCTCTTACGATTGGTTGGAAACCCGGAACTAGACACTGCTTTTGGTCTCTAATGGGAGGAATAAGGGTTTGGAAAGACAGAGGGTGTGATTATCTGAAATGCTCAATTCAAGTCCTGTTCCAGAGCTTGTTAACCATAGCTCCCCGCTGAAGCATATTTCTTCATCATTGCTCTTAAGAATGGCCAGCTCTTTTGCAGACATAGACACTTACTACTTCTTAACTACTTCTTAACCTGCTCCCCATCATTCCATCTTAGATAAGAATCTTTACTCAGCGCCTCCCCCCCCCCACCAAGAACATTTTGAGTGTGCAATCAAAGTGACCCAAGCTTCAGGTTGAATTGAGACAAAATGAAGACCTAATTCCATATGGCATAATGTGTGTTCAGTTGGGTTGTTACTATAAAACAATGTTTGAAAATTTTCTAATTTTTTAAAAAGGCTTTAACTAGAAAGCCAAATTTAAGATGAACAATGAGTAAAAGCAACTTTCTTTACGGTTTAAGAACCAAAATGAGTAAGTCATAGGAACCTAGCTGATTACAAGCACAACTGGGACTAGAAACAGGTTGCTTGACTGGCAATGCATTTCCCACCACATCATATTTAATGTTTTTGAAATATCTTTCTTTGCAGTTTGCAAGCCATATTTAAAAACTATAAACAACATTTGACCATTTTCAGAAAAAGCACTATTGAAAATACAAATGAAAACCAGGCTCCCGATGTCTGTAATCCTAGCTATGCAGAAGGCTGAGGTGTGAGGATTGTGGTTCAAAGCAAGGAAAGTTCATGAGACTATTATTCCAATGAAACACACACACACACAAGTCAAAATTCTTTTGAAAACTAAAATTTGTATATAAACATTATAATAGGTGATGGAGTGCCATACTAGCATTTCTTATATGTATACAACAATAATTTTTGTATAAAGGTAAATACTCTATACTTTATACTGAACTTTGTGTTTTTTCTTTTTGTAATTTCATTATATACTGTGATTTTCTTTTTCTTCTAGAATTGTCAGAATACTATTGTTACAGAATCACTCACCTTAAGAACACTAGCTACTAATTTTTTCCTTATTCATAAATGACTTGAATTTAAAATGGTCTGCTAGAATTTATTTTTAAATTGTTGAAAAGTATGAAGGGTAAAAAAATCTTAAGATACTAGAAAGAAAAGTTGAAACGTTGAATAGAAGAATTACATTGTATACTTTCCTCAAACGGTATTCTTTGATTGTATAACTAAGAAGGAAGAATCTGTTTTGAAATAACATGCTTTTTCTAGAAGCCTGTGGTATATATAAAGGAAGCATTTTTTTTAGATTTAGCCAAAACCAAGTTAAAAAATATTTGTGCATTTATCTTTCTAGCAAACCCAGAGAACTAGAAAACTACAAGATGTTTTAAAGAATACTTGTAAAGATTAATGAGCTGTAAAATAAAGCAGAAAGGATTTATTAAACCAGAACTGCAAGTCAAACTAGGTTGAATTTGAACACAATGTTAACTTAGTTCAAATGATCTTCTACTTAGCAAATATTTATAAAACTCTGGTCTAATCACTTACCTGACTGATAGTCTAGTTCTGATAGAACCTTCCTGCTCAGTATCCCACCTATTTTAGGAATGTATCTCTGTTTTCCCCAATGTACTCTTATTTTGTTTTATTTTCAATTTTTAAATGGTTATTATAAAGGTGATGTACAGAGGGGTTACATAAATCAGATAAAGATATTTTCTTTTTCTTTTTTTTTGGTCGGTCTTGAACTCTGGGCCTGGGCACTATCCCTGAGCTCTTCATCTCAAGGTTAGCGCTCTATCACTTGAGCCACAGCACCACTTTGGTTTTCTGGTAGTTAACTGGAGATAAGAGTCTCAAGGACTTTACTGCCAGGGCTGGCTTTGAACTGAGATCCTCAGATCTCAGCCTCATGAGTAGCTACATTATAGGCGTGAGCCACCGGGGATCTGCTGGCAGAGATATTATTTTTGGATCATGTCATCCCTTCCTTCACTCTCTTCCCCAGTGTACTCTTGCCCTACCTCTCCAGTTTGCCCTCAGGCTTCAAGTTTATGCTTTCCACTTAATAGAAAACCCGCTTTCCAACTTAGCTCAAGTCATCATTTTTCCCTTAAATGGCCTGCTCTAAACAGCTCTGTATTCTTTTGCTACAAGTCATTTTCTTCAGGTGCTCTGTACCTCAGCCTTTAAAGAATTAGACCTATTCGTTTTATGACTTTCATAAAGCTGAAACATAGGCAAGGAGGATATAGGCAGTCTTTTTTTTTTTTTTTTGTCGATGGTGGGCCTGAACTCTGGGCCTGGGCGCTGTCCCTCAGCTCTTCAGCTCAGGCTAGCGCTCTACCACTTGAGCCATAGCACCACTTCCAGCTTTTTCTGCTTATGTGGTGCTGAGGAATTGAACCCAGGGCCTCATGCATGCAAGGCAATCACTCTACCACTGAGCCACCTTCCCAGCCCCTGTAGGCAATCTTTCAATCACAAAAAATATTTTAAAACAGGAGCATACCTATAAAGCTTTTCTGGATGGGTAAACTCTGTGATATTTTCTCTCTGAGCATATATATATATATATATATATATACACACACATAAATACATACATATATATAAAACGTAATATTAATTGGTCCCTTTCTCCTTATCTTTGTGTCTGAAATAGATTTATTCAGGATTGAAAATAATTATTTTCTGCTTAACTATTTCTTACTATTTTTCTTTGGATATTGGCTGTGTACAGGAGTTTTGAAAAGTGAGGTAAGAGGAATAGGCTAAATTGGAATGAAGTTATCACATGTTTTATAAGTAACTTCTTCAATGATTCAGAGGGTTTTTTTCCCCCCTCCTTCCATTCCATTCGCTTCATTGAAGATGTAGTCTCATTATCTTGTGGTAATTATGCTTAGAGATCATAAGTTTATAGCTCTAATTCCCCTGTGCCTTGAACAGTTAAGATTTTTGCGGTTGTTGCTTTTGGTTTGTTCCATATGTATAGGGAGCCAGGAAAAGTTTGCTTGTACTTTTTAGGAAGCTAAATTAGAGAGCTAAGTTAACATCTCTTTGTAAGTATCTTAAATATAAGTTCAGTAAATTCAGAGATGTCAGTTTTAACCATTAATGTCCATAATAAAAACAGCTTCCAATCTTCAAAAGTATTTTTGGAAGCATATAATTTGATGCATAACTAGGTGACTTGTTGAACATTTTTTATATAACTTGCCCCATATCTGTGGCTTAAAATCATTAGGTACAGTTTTAATAAAATAACATGCAAGGATATACTCAGGAGTGCAACTTGAATGCCATGGATTCAATCCCCCAGTTCTGAAAATGAATGAATGAGTAAAATAAATATATATTAGAGAAAGGTCCCAGTCCTACCCCAGATCAGTTTTGTCTGAAATACAGGCGCTCCCCCCCCCCCGTGCCCGAATATCCTCATCACATCTAGAAAAGTTAATCAAATTTTCAAATTTATTAGTGAATGTTGGGATTTTCCTGATTTTTTTGTTTTTGACAGGGACTCTGATACATTACAGTTGGTTCTGGTTCATGTTCTCTCTCCTTTCTCTTCTCCTTCCACCTCTCTCTCTCCCCCTCCCCTCTACTCCTCTCCCCCTCTCCCTCTTTCTGCCTCTCCCCCTCCTTCTCTCCCTCTCCCCTTCTTCTCTCTCCCTCTCCCCTTCCCTCCCTCTCTCTCTCCCTCCCTCTTCCTCTTTCCCTCTCTCCCTCTCTTACTTTTTTGTTCCCTCCCTTTTTCTCCCCCCTTACTCTTTTATCCTCTCCCTCTCCCTCCCCCCTCTGCTGGGCATTGAATGCAGGGCCTCCTGAATGCCAAGCTTACCCTACAACTTTTTATAATCTACCAGTTTTATAAGGGACCAGTTTTTATAATCTATAGGTTTCCATCTCCTCTTTTTTTCCTCTTGTAATTTCTTTAGGAAATGTTCCTATAGAGTTTCCCAT